TAGTGGGGTTGCTGTCTGAAGTACCTTGTTGCTTTCAGCTTTACCTCCTGTTCTGCAACAGGGTTTGCCCCCTAAGACGTGTGTTGAGCAGGGTGTCAAGAGAAAGCTACTCCATTTAAACGATTGATATTAGGAGTACAATTTTTACTGTAATGAGAATGAGCAGAAGAGCTGTGTTTCTAAGTTCAAATTATAGTTAAAAATGGTTAAGTACATCATTCCTCAAATTAAAGCATAGCTATCAATGTAGGAAGGGAACAGTCAATAATTTTTCAACAAATGTTGCGGACAGATCTTTGTAATATTGTAGTTGCTTCTCTTCTTTTTCTTCATCATAATGTTTAGTCAACTTCACCATCATTTTAATACCTAAGAGGATAGTTGTAACCAGGACCTCCTGTTCCAACAAAGAACAAAAGGGCAACTCCATCCCTTCTACATATAAATTAAGAACAACTGAGAGACAGCTATAGGAACAGCTATAGAAACGGAGGGTACGAGGGAACTGTGACCCACAGCATTAAAAGGCTTCCCTTGGGGAAGGAAGCTTACTTTTGGGGCTTCAAGAAATTTCATTCAACATTAAAGAGATTTCATTTTATACTCCATTGCTTATTATACTTTATGGGAATAAAAGAGTTTATTTTACTGTTTTTTTTACAGAGTGAAACAAACAAAAAAACTCATCTTGGGTGAAATTCTGGCCTCACTGTCTAAATTCCTGCTGACTTTATTAATGCTAAGGTTTTAGTCCTAACTCTCAACCAGCATGTGCTGTGTGAGTGCAGAGAACACCCCAGAGCTGCCTCATAAAGCCTCATAAAGTGGTCTCTGGTGTTGAAACTCTCCATGTAGAAGCACTGGACTGTTCCCTGTATTCAGTCCGCTTGACAATTTTCAAGTGAAGTGTAGTTTTGAAGTGTAGTTTTGCAGAGAGCAGTGCAGAGAGCACAGTCGGACAGCTTTCTAGGAAAATAATCTTTGGCTGAGGAAAGAAAAATAAATTGGCCAAAGGTTGTTCACTTCAAGTTGCCAGTGGAAGTGTGGCGAGACGCTTTAACTCTATCGCAGCTCAGTTAGACCCAGTTGAGGAGTGGGGAGAGTTTCCATGTTGGACCAAATCAGTGACCTGGAGAGTTTGGGGGAGGTTCTTTATACTGGGTGGAAGGAAGGTGACTGCTTCCCCAACCACTAACGACCTAGCAAATGAAGATTTGCTATCCCCAGGGAGAGAATGAGCATAGTTTGGCACTGGGAGTTTGCATGATTAGCATTTGAGAGTCAAGATCTGAGTCACCTCCTCAGATCTTGACCCACTGAGTATGCAAATCTTTCTCCTTTTTCCCTTTTGCAATTTTGTGTTCATGCCAGGCAGCTTTCTCTAACATGTTTAATAGAAACACTGGATTTGCCATCATTTCAGTTTATAATTTTGTTTATCACACTGTTTTTTTAAACTCTTTGTTAATTACCTTGAGCTTTTTAATTTCTCCTTATATAGAAACTGTCCCTCTGGCTTTCAAGTTACTTCAGTTTCTCTTTTTAGAATATTTTTCTATTTCTTTATTTTCTATTTATCTATGTACAACAATGAAGCCTCATGGGTTCAAAAATCTAAATGTCTTTGCCCTGTTCTCTTTCCTGCCCAAAACAGGGGACTGAACTGAGATACAAATTAATACAAGTGTGGACTCAGGATCAAACTTCTTTTGAACGGGGTGAACTAACGGTACAGTCTCTTACAGTTTAGAAGATTTTAGGTCATTATGAGATAATAATTTTTCTGCTTCAGCCTGTATTATTTGCATTTTCTCATGGAGATGATCTAAAGCTAGTCCTAGAGGGACTGAGACCACCTTTTCTTCTAGGAAAATAAAATAAAATAAAATAAAATAAAATAAAATAAAATAAAATAAAATAAAATAAAATAAAATAAAATAAAATAAAATAAAATAAAATAAAATAAGGAAGGTGAAGCACTTCTTCTTCTTCCATGAAATACAAATGATTTACATAGCAGGAGGGGACTTTGTACAAAGGCTTTTCACCAGCCTGCTAATGAAGGAATGGAGGAAATTAATAGATGCTGCAATAAAATAAAATAAAATAAAATAAAATAAAATAAGGAAGGTGAAGCACTTCTTCTTCTTCCATGAAATACAAATGATTTACATAGCAGGAGGGGACTTTGTACAAAGGCTTTTCACCAGCCTGCTAATGAAGGAATGGAGGAAATTAATAGATGCTGCATATGCTCCCCTCCCCCTTATTTCTTATTCAGTGGTTATTTTATTTCTCTTTCTCTCTCTTTTTTTACATTTGCCAAAAATTTCGTATGTTCAGAGAATGGTCAAGAATGAATAGATAATGGAAAGCAGAGCACGCTATATATCGCAGTAATGCTTACCTCCCAAACCCACAACTTTTTAACTGAGTTTGAAACAACCCCCTGAAACTTTACCAATCAAATGCTGCAGATGGTTCCTGAGAACCAGAAAATGAAGCTGAGGAGAAATGAAAGTGGACTGGCAATGCTCTCACTGTCCAAGGAGGGGGCTGTGCCTAGTTTAGAGAGGGCATTAATAGTGAAAACCTAATCCAGTCTTCACATTTCTTTCAAACACCTAACATACTATTTTGCGAGGCAATTTAGTATGCAAAAATATGCTGGGTGGAAATCAGGAGCTCGGTGCTATTTGTGCAAATACAGTACACATTCAGATTATTGTGGGACTGCAGCCAGGTCACTTGGGAGCAAGCACGCAAACCTCATGTTCAGCCTCCTGGCAGGGAGCGCTCGTGCCAGAAGCATGATTAATCCCAGCAAAGGAGGGTGTTTATGGGGTGTCACAGTCCTGGCGGAGCTTCCCCTTATGGATGCACACCAGGCAGCTGTGTTTGGACCCATGCGCTGGATCCATGTACTCCTCTGTTCCCCTGGGCCTGGGCAGGCTCCAAACACCGACTGTGGCCCCAGCCTCTCAGGCACACTTCCCAGGCACACTTTTGTGCTTGTACCTACTGTTGCCCCCTCTTTAAGCCCTCTTTTTGGGACCACTGATGTACCACAGAGATTATAAAGGGTTATTTGTACGCTGGCCACATGCAGCTAATTGACTTAACGTCAGAGATACAAAGCAGAACAAATGTCTGTACACAGTTTTCTTCCTCTTGGGCACTGGAGCATTTCCTGGGTTTTGGATGGTGCCGTAGCAGCCCCGGGTCCCCTCTCTCGTACCATAGTGCTCCAGCTTAGCCTTCTCTTCCCAAGTTATAGACTTATCTCTATCTCCTCCGAGAAACTCCATTTTTCAGAGCTGAAGTCAAAGTATTCCCTGGCTTGAAGACCATTCCTTCTTAACATGCTTCTTCCTAACACTTCTCTGTTGTGTCCTTTTACTGGCAATTTGCTTTGACTTTGTTCTGGGACCTTTTACTAACAGGTGTAAAGTAAATGTGCTCTGCTTTAAGCACCATCCATCTTACTTTCCCTAAGGTGGTTCCACTTGAGTGGAAGATCATTTGCCTTAAGGGTTCATATTGATCTCTGTTGCACTTCTTCAGCTTTAATCTAGGAGGTACCTCACCCACTCCATATCAGCAAAAACTTGGTTCAATGATACAGCAATTTCATACAATTTACAAAATTTTGTCCTTTTCACTTAGAGAAATTTCACAAACTACTAGACAGAGTCAGGGCATGAATTACTCTCCTAGTCCATCATCTGTGGTCAGTCTTTTCACTCTGCAGGTTTGCAAAATTAAAACTATGAATTCAGTGTTAGAAATCATTATTAGCTCATAGAACAGAAAATATTTGTGATGTGGGCCACCTTATCCTTTCATGAGTTTATTTCTGACTTTGCCTCTTATTTCATACCTCAGACAGCATACTCTTTATTTTGTAGCCACTCAAGATTTATGAGTTTGGATTTGCGTTTAAAAAGCTGCGATGGGCCGGGTAGGCAATTTTACTACATTCTGTTCCTGCCTTTTTACCTACAATTCACTAAAACTGTCCTGCACCAAAACACTCGGGGTATTCAAAATGCACATCTAATTCCAGGATCTAGAGCCTACTTGGGTATCACTCAAACACTAAGATATACTAGGATTTATGTGTACTTGTAATACAACAGTGAGATATTCTTTATCTGGAGCTCAAGTGGTGCAGTAGGTTCTATTGCTGATATCTCCGTTATTGCTGAGGCAAGCCTATTTGCTGTGGAGAAAACAGTGGAGTTACAAATCAAGCATGTAAGTGAGCAGGAAAAACATATAAAGGAGACAGTGTTTAAGTTCACTTGTCATGTTCCTACCATTAGAGGAGAACTTAAGAAGTCAAATTGTCTCTTCTTACAGAGCTGTTATCTTTTTATTCCAAGCAGGGAGCAATGTCAGCTCCCATGCAGAATAAAATGATAAAACTCATACCACACCTGGAAACTATCCATAGTTTTTGCCTTTGTGGAATCCCTTTTCTTGACCTTGTGGCCTCAAATATGAAAAGCTGCCACACACACTCTCTGGCTATAGATACTCCTGAGATCCTATTTCAAATGTGTTGGGGTTTTGTGGGGTATGTAATACCTGTGCTGAATTATTCTTCCCTGTGTGCCCCTACTTTGCTTTAACTTCCATCTGAGTCCCGTCCAATGTTTCACTCCTCTCCACACATGGATCTCATCAACACAGAAAGGAAGATGGTAGGAGAATGCCTGTTCAGGGAAGGGCTTTTCCAGAAAAAAGGGAGAAATCTGAATACTTGGCTTCCTCTGATGATGTGGGCAGGAATTCTGTCCAGCGTTAGGGCAAATCCTGCTAGATCCTGTACATGCTGCCCCACAGTTTTCTGAATTCAAGAGCTCTCTGCCTAGGTTACAGATCTGATGTGTTATGATAGTATATTTGTGACTTAAGATACTTGCTTCTTGTGTTCTTGCACTGTGATCGCTATTTGTTTTTTCTGTTCTACTGCTAAGGATATTTTATTTTGTCAGGTTTGGGATGAAACTCTTGCCAAATCTGCAGAGGCTTGGGCTGCTACATGCATTTGGGACCATGGGCCTTCCTACTTACTGAGATTCTTGGGCCAGAACCTGTCTGTAAGAACTGGAAGGTAGGCAGATACCCTGCGAAACAGTTATTTTGTCAGCCTTCGAACAGCCTTTGAGATCCAGATCTTAGACTGATGCAAGTGTCATCCAGTATTCTAGCAATAATTGATATCCATCTATATTCGTTTGGCTTAAGAGTATTATTGCTTAATACTGTGCCCCTAGTGATGTGTGGAGAAACGTGTATTTAGGTGACTTGCATCAGAGGGATGAGCAGCAGAAAGTTCCAAAATATCTAACTCTAAAATGACATGTTTTTCTTTCTGTCTTTTAAACAAACCCAGGTATCGATCTATTCTCCAGCTGGTAAAGCCATGGTATGATGAGGTGAAGGATTATGCTTTCCCTTATCCTCAGGATTGCAACCCCAGGTGTCCCATGCGATGTTATGGACCCATGTGCACCCATTACACACAGGTTATATGAATTACATTCTTCTATTCAAAATCTAGCGTCCAAAGCTGGACTTTTCTGTGATGTATTTATAACTCTCTCTCAAATAAATGTATATATATATATTTCTGTTCAATTTGGACTTCACCAATAATAAATATTTATTCAGATGGTTTGGGCCACTTCCAATCGTATAGGCTGCGCAATCCACACATGCCACAATATGAACGTCTGGGGATCTGTTTGGCGACGAGCTGTTTACTTGGTATGCAACTATGCCCCAAAGTGAGTTGCTTTCTTTTAATATTGTTTATTTTTATACTTCATGCATGTTTTGGTCCTCTCATAGGACTGCTTACTCCTTTTTCTGCAGCTTGACCTCTATTAGTGCTTTTTCTGCGGGCTGCTCCTTCATTCTAACTTTACATCTGAAAATACAGAAAATGCATGACTTTGGTATGCAAGGAAGTAAAGGAAATAACTCTATGTGTATGGAACAAACCCAAAAACTTGTTTTCTGTTATTGTTATTATTACAATTCTTTTTGTCTTCCTCCTTTGTGTTGACTCCACTTTACTTTCAATTCGTTATTTCTTCACTCTGTTATATATACTCATGGTGAGCTAGACTTCCTCAGGTAAGCAATCCCACTGTAGATCAGGCCCTTGATTTACTGTGAACACATGTTGTTGCCCACAAGATACCTTTGCTTATGACCGTGCTGCATGAGGGCATCCATAGCATAGGTTTCCTACGAAGTCCATCTACCTAAGCTCAGTGTCTACAAATCTTGTCTTGCCTTCCATATTAGGGTCCTTCAAAGTATGGGTCATAGACACCCAGAGGTGGCCCTGTATCAGGTAGCTGTGCAGAGATCTGTGTTAGGTTGAAATGAAGAAATGAATTTTCTCCCACCATTTCCTAGACATCATCCCAAGCTTACAGCTGGGTGCAGAATGAATCAATAAAGTGTGGCTCTGGGAGAGCTTCAGTTTGAGGTCTGGTTTGGACCAGTGCTTCAAAAGCAGCATGGACAGTGTAAATGGGTAGTTTCTCTGACTGTATAATATTAGGCAAAGCCATAGTTCTGTATAGGAATCTAAATACAATTAATTGAGCATGTTTTCCATAAACTCTCAGTGGCACAGGTCCATTTGTGGTAAAGAATATGCAAGAATATGTCATTATTCTAGTTGTTACATGAGTAAAAGAATTTTTAAAGATTTTGCAACTTAAAAAAAGATAGGTTTTAGTAAGAAAACTGACTTGGAAAAAAAACACCTTTGGAAATCAAGGAGATTTCTCTGTCCTTTTGTCTTTAATATCTACTAGAAAAGGGTGGTAAGAAATGTATGTGAGGGAGCAAAAATCAGGCAGCAAAAATTGTATCTGACTTTTAGCTCCACAACATGGACAAGGTGAAATCAAAGTTTATAAGAGAAACCCAACTATTCTTTTTTATGTATCTCCATTTGAAAAAAAATATTAAAAATTACAAAATTCCTAGAATACATCTTTCATGTTCATATATAGGAAAAGAATGGTTTTATCCATTAGGCATTATTGAAAACGGATGCATTGTTTGTCTATCAGTTAGCAATGAATTAATGAAATTTTGTATTTTCTCAGTCTGAAAATCCCACTGTTCCTCAAACAGCAAACCAAAGCCTGGTGTTACAAGCTTCTCTGGATGGTATTTTGAGTAGACCTTTGATTCATAGGTGGTGGAATCGGGATTTTCACATCTACTTCTTGCACAGTCACAAAAAGGATATTGAGTGGTCTTGCCTGGCTTAAGTTTATATTCCTAAGAATTAATTAAGTTAAGGACATTGGGCTTAGAGTCCTTGGGCACACATTCAGAAGTCTCTTTGCCAGTCAATGAAGGCTGTGTCCTTCTGAGTAACCAGCACATCAGAAACTCCTCCTCTGAAGAAGGGGGTGAATATTACAGCCCCGACTCGAGTTATTAAGATTGGACTTTGGCAAAGATTTAGGATTTAGAACTCCAATAATTTTCACTGGTGCCATGCTGTAAGGCTGAAAAATATCTATGCTTCTGAAATCTGGAAAAAAAAAGTTAAGGAGGATAATTACAAAGTTTAGAAAGGCCCTGCACCTGGTTATCTGACAGACGCACACAAATCAGCCATGCGTTGCATAGAAAATGAAGCAGAAATCAGCTTTCAGCAAACTCTATCTGGATTTCCATATCTGTTATCAAACTAAATCTATTTCCTGAGCGCTCGGTCTGCTGTACCCATTTGGAAGAGAAGTAGGAATGAGCAAATTATTTGAGAGATTCCTACTTTCTTCCAAGGCACAACCCAGACCAGGGCTTTTGATCCAATGTTATTGGCTGGGAGGTGGGGGATGAGAAAATGTTTCATAAATAATTGCATTACTCACTGCTATACCACGTCACATGCAAACTAGAGGAAAGTTCTCTGCTCAGTGAGACATAACATTTAAATAAAAATCTAATTTTAACTTACTTTCTGCCTACATCACGAGTGTTACATGAATCTCTAAAAGCCAGGGGTTTATATAAGCACCTAAAAGTCTGGATTGTTTTTCAGATGTTCCTAGATCTTTCAGAGTTACCTCTTTTCACATGATCACTCTCCAGACTTGTACCCCTTTCCCGCGCCCCCCCCCCCGGGCTCTATTACACAGCTCTATTCACCAGACAGGAGCCCTCCTCCTCCTCCCATTAACACCTATGAGACCCCTACACATGCCCAAATACAGTTCTTTTTAATACATTACTGGTGCGAATAGTTTTCATCTTCCCTTTTCTCTAACCATGAATTCAGCCTCAGAGCTTGACAATGTGGACCTAGGGTAGTGCAACCTAAGAATAAGGTTTCGCTCTGTTTGTTTTTCCACCTTCTAAAAACAAGCTTTTAAGATAACTGCCAGACAAAAAAGTGCTCAAGGAAAACTTTGCACTAATGCTTATGTTGCTAATTTCTCATAAATATAGCCCTCCGGTAAAAAATGCTCTGTCCCAGGCTTGGAGAGTCAAAAATCACTTGGCTGTAGCAAAAGCAGGAAGACTGGAACTTCACCACCCCCCCCCCCCCCCCCCCCCCCCCCCCCCCCCCCCCCAGCTCTATTCACCAGACAGGAGCCCTCCTCCTCCTCCCATTAACACCTATGAGACCCCTACACATGCCCAAATACAGTTCTTTTTAATACATTACTGGTGCGAATAGTTTTCATCTTCCCTTTTCTCTAACCATGAATTCAGCCTCAGAGCTTGACAATGTGGACCTAGGGTAGTGCAACCTAAGAATAAGGTTTCGCTCTGTTTGTTTTTCCACCTTCTAAAAACAAGCTTTTAAGATAACTGCCAGACAAAAAAGTGCTCAAGGAAAACTTTGCACTAATGCTTATGTTGCTAATTTCTCATAAATATAGCCCTCCGGTAAAAAATGCTCTGTCCCAGGCTTGGAGAGTCAAAAATCACTTGGCTGTAGCAAAAGCAGGAAGACTGGAACTTCACCACAGAGACTAAAGGATGTCGAATGGACCACTGGCCTGGGGTGACATGGTCATTCTCCTGCTGGTTTTTGGGAATCAGTAGATCAATGTTTGTCAGTAACCTACAGAAATATACTAATGTATGTTTTCAGTAACAGGGCATTTATAGGTTATCACTGAAGACATTAACTTTAATCACTCAAAACAAGTATGGTTAATGAATTTTTTTTCAATTCCTCTCTGAAATTACTAAGCATTCTTTTTCCTTTTTTATTTTCAGGGGCAATTGGATTGGAGAAGCACCATATAAAGTAGGAGTCCCGTGTTCAGCTTGTCCTCCAAGCTATGGAGGTTCTTGTACCGACAATCTTTGTTTCCCAGGAGTAACATCAAACT